TAGAAGGTCACCATGACAGGAGCAAGAGTGTCAGTAGACAGATAAGCAGGCCAAAAAACATCAGAGTCACATTTGAGAGTCTTCAGAGGAAGGGAGGAGAGGGGTCAGCACTGAGTTGAGGTAAGGGGTACTAGAAAAGGAGCCTCTTCTTGCCTGAGGTAGAGAAGTTGGGGAGGAGAAGGGCTGGAGTGAGGGAGCCTGCTGGCAGACAGAAGTGCCCTGGATATAATGACAAGCCTAGCTGCCTTCTATCTATATAAACAACTCTGTCTGTGCCCCCACCCCCCACCCCAATAGCCATGGCATGGCCAAAGTTGGTTAGACCAGAGCAGAGACATGACATTGGCCATCTGAGTGCTGACCAACAGCCCGGCGTGGCCTGGTACATAGGGCTTTTCCAAACAGGGAAAACTAGGCCACTCCTGTTCTCGTTCTGCCTCTGGCTTTTGGTCTCTTTCTCAAAAGATCCAGAGGGAAGTTTTCTGGTAGATCTGTGAGCTGATCTGAAAGGTTATGAAGCAGGCTATAGACCAGGCACAGCGTTGCCAGATTAAATAAAGAATAGTTAAATTTGAATAACAGATCCACAAAAACAACAAAAATTTTTTTTAGTGTATCCCAGATAGTACATGGGCTATACTTACACTAAAAAAGCTATTCGCTCATTATTTATCTCTGAAATTCAAATGTAAGTGAACGTCCTGCACTTTTCACTTGCTAAATCTGGCAACCTTATCACGTGTCCTTATGCATCACGTGCATATGAAGCATGTGGGGCAAAGCAGGGCACATCTCTTCTCTGCCTTTAGGAAAAACGCAGTCCAACTCCCTCTGGTGCTGGGAGGCACTGTCCCAACGCTGCACGCATGTCCCCTGTGCTCTCCTCGCTGGCGCCCCCCTAAAGCCATCAGAAGGTACTGCATATTCCTTCCTGACAATCCTCACCGCTCAGCCTCCCCTGACCAGACACACCGTATTAGGAGCAATGTACTGAAGGTCATCATCCAGGCTGTAACAGCCTCGGACTTTATTCTACTACACATCAGCACATGCCTTCAAGACTAGATCTTCAAAAACAGGGAATCTCATATAAATGCTCCATCTCTCCCTCCTTTGTCAACTCTTCTCCGGCTACGTGGCCTCTCTTTGAAGCCCTCAGTGAAGTGCCCCCACAGCCGCCCACTCCCTCAGTAAGCCCTTGCCCTCCCCGGAGGAAGAGGACAGTCCTCCTCTCTATCTTTGGCTGGCATTGCAACCTTGAGCCCCTGAGAGGCTCTGCTCTGTTTAGTCACTGCTGACTCTGGGAGGGTGAGAGCAATCCCTGGTGTTTGATATGCTTGATGTGTTCAGAAACGTCCCTAAAAAGCAAGGCACTCTCTCCAAGGTGAGTGGTTTCTTCTCAGCTACCATGACCAATCACATACAAAGAAAACGCATGTGAAAATGGCATTTTTTTTTTTTTTGAAAATGGCATTAATTTGACAAGTTGCAAAAGAGTAATTGTGTTGAGAAGGAATTGTTTTTTTCTTGTCTCCCTGAGACTAACTTTCATGGCCAGAAGTGTACATTGGCTCTCCTTACCACCCTGGGGAGGGGGGTGGTGCCAACTTTAATTAAATCTTCTTTACTATCTCCTCCTTTCTAACCCAGCTAAAAGGGGAGATTCCCCCCACCATTTAGCAGTGTACATAAGGAGCTAGTGAGAACTACCTGATAGAGAGGAAAGGAATGGAGTGGATGTGCACAATGAAAGCCAGAAAGCCTTGGAAGAAAACGTAGTGTGGATTTCTGGTGTCAGATGCCATTAACACGTCAGTTCATGTTTTGGATTTCCATAAGACCTCTATTCTTAGACAAATAAGCAACATAGAGAACAGACTTGTGGTTGCCAAGAAGCTGAGGGAAGAATGGATTGGCAGTTTGGGATTAGTACATGCAAACTATTACATGTAGACTGGATAAACAACAAGGGAACTATATTCAATATCCTGTACTAAACCATAACAGAAAAGAATATGAAAAAGTATATATATATACATATATATATATATGTATATATGTATAACTGAATCACTTCGCTGTACAACAGAAATAAATGCAATCTTGCAAAACAACTATACTTCAATAAAATAAATTTTAAAAAGAAGCACATCACCATCTAAAAAAGGAGTCAGCAAACATTTTTACTACAATTACATATTTTTTATTTTTATTGAGATATAATTGAGATATACTAGTTTCAGATGTACAACATAATGAATCAGTATTTGTATATATTGTGAAATGATCACACAGTAAGTCTAGTTAACATCTATAAAGGGCCAGATAGTAAATATTTCAGGCTTTTCAGACCATTCAGTCTCCTGAAACTACTAAACTCTGCTGTCGTAATGCAAAAACAGTCATAAACTATATGAAATCAAATAAACATGACTGTGTTCCAAAAAAAATTCTATTTCAAAAATCAGTGTTGACACCCTTCAAGTGAGGAAAGTAATGCTCAAACTTTGAGAGCTCATGTCTCCCTATTCCTACTTTCCAACCAAGAGCCATGATTTTGGTTTGTGCTACCACTATCCCATCTCTCAACTCTTTGCGACCCCATGACCTTATAGCCCCCGCCAGGCTCCTCTGTCCGTGGGATGACCCAGACAAGAATACTGGAGTGGATTTTGCCCTTTTCCTTCTCAACTAATGCCACCATCTCAGTTCAGTGGTTGGTTCCAACATCCACAATTGGGAAACCTTAGTTTTTTCATTTTTGTTTTTCTTTATCAGAAATCATACAAAGCTCACCCAGATTTATAAGGACTATATCCTGCGATGGTAGACTCTTTCTAACTCCTTTCTGCTTTTGTCTGATCCTAGTGTTAGGTCTAACAATAGTCCCATTTGCTGCCAAATTTGCCACAGGGCCAGAAGCTGCCTCTGTCCCAGCTTTGTTATCAGAGAAAAAACTTTTTCTACACACTTATATTGTCATTTGGGGCCTGTGAATTAAATGGACAAGACTGATTAACAAGAGTTCACAGAAAAATGTGACTCTAGGAGGCAGTTAGAATTTAGGCTTTTGCACTCTCTTAACAGGATAAGGGGAAGGGGAGCAGGCAGTTACAGGAAAGCAAATGACTTTCAAGTTCTCCTCAGGAGAACCGAAGGAAGATACAGCTTTATGACCATGTATGCCCGTGATGTCCTCCTTTAGCCCATCTTCTCTAGTTGTGAAAGTGAAAGTCACTCAGTCATGTCCAACTCTGTGGCCCCATGGACTATTACAGTCCATGGAATTCTCCAGGCCAGAATACTGGAGTGGGTAGCCTTTCCCTTCTCCAGGGGATCTTCCTAAACCAGGAATCTCTAGTTGTGGGAGGGGATTTATGAAAATGGAGTCCTTTGGGCAGGCTCCACATTTAGGTAGATAATGGAGTTCAGAAAAAAATTCAGTTCTCAAACGCTTTCAGCTTAAAATAATTTTTATGCTGCAGAGGCTCTTCCAGACTTCTTCAGCCTTATTCCACAGAGGGGCCTCTGATGAGAAGACTCAAGGGAAAGCTGCTGGTGCTCACCGCTGATCCTTCCCTACTGACCCTGAGAGCCACACAATTCAAGATGCTGTTCCAAAGTGAACCATCTTCCCCTGCTGTGTTCCACCTGGTCTCGCCCCTTCCCACTGCTTCTCAGGAACCATCCTGATTTTCACATCCAGAGAAAACGTTACTGAATCCTCAAATATATGTTAGAGTTCTTCTACCTGAAACTGTAACCTCATTCTCTGGAATAAAGGGATTTGGACCAAGGTTTACAGGCCCTGCAAAGACTAATTGTACTCAGATTGCAAGAATTCAACTCAAACTAGCTAAAGATTAAAGAAATCACAGGCTTACATCACAGCAAGTTTAGGGGAGAAGGTGGCCTTAGCCCCACTATTCCAAGTCATTCAACTTCTATCTCATTTTCTGCCTTTGCTTACTTAAACCCTTGGTTTTTCACCCCTTCTAACCATTTCAGTGGCTGACACAAGCTTTGTCTAGGGTACCTCCTAAGTCTTAAATATGGAGGGAGAGTTTTTTGTTTCTAGATAAAAGCCCAGCAGCTCTGACCTCGCTTCTGTCAACTAGCAGTTAACTCTTTCCTCAAATAGCACAATGGGGATGATAAATACCTGCCTGGAAAGGGTGTTGTTGGATTTCTCCCCTACATTGGTAAGTGGATTTTTTTTTTTCCAACAGCTATCTGTATTCTTTTAATTGGAGGATAATTGCTTTACAATGTTGTGTTGATTTCTGTCATACATCAACATGACTCAGTGGTAAGTATACAAATGTCCCCTGACTTGAACCTCCCTCCCACTTTCCCCTTCATCCCACTGCTCCAGGCTGTCACAGAACAGGGGGTTTGAGCTCCCTGTGTCCGCAAATTCCCACCGGCTATCTATTTTGCATATGGTAATATATATGTTTCAATGGTACTCTCCCAACTTGTCCCATCCTCTCCTCCCCCGTCCATAAGTCTGTTCTCTTTGTCAGGCAGGCGGATTCTTTACCACTGAGCCACCACTGAGCCAGCTGGGAAGCTCATGGGGCCGCTGGTGAGGTTCTAAAGGAACTGGATCTGGAGAGCTGGTTGTGTCCAGGGTCTCAGCCCTCAACCCCCCAAGTCTCTCAGACTCTGGGGCACTGAGGCAGCAGCGCAACTCATGAACCTTGGAATCAAGGAAAAGTCCTGAACCCTAGGGCCGAGAAAAAAGCCAAGAGCGAGACCAAAGGGCATGTCAGGGCCACCCTGCTCCGCAGGAGAGCGATGCTGCATAACCGTGGGGACTGAGAACACAGCCACTGGCCGCAGCGAAGAGAGCCGCAACAGCTCAGCTGTGCGAATGAAGCGGAGAACAATGCGCTCAAACCCTGCACGCGGAGGCTTGCAATGCCCCGCCCAGGGCGGGTCCGACTCAGAGCCTGCCGGGAAATGTAGTGTCTAAAGCTGCGCCAGTGCAGCGCGGCTGCCTGCCAGCCCGAGTCACGCGCAACTACAGGTCCCAGCACGCCCCGCGAGGCCTTGATCAGCCGCTGTTCTCAGGGAAGGGAGTGGGGCGAACATGGCTGAAGACAGCCGAGGCGACTCAGCGTGCGGTGGGATGGATGGCAGGCAGGATCCGGTCCCCAGCAGTGGCGGCTTCAACTTTCCAGAGTACGAGCTTCCTGAGCTAAACACGCACGCTTTCCATGTGGCCGCCTTCGGGGAGCTGTGGCGTGGCCGGCTGCGCGGGGAAGGGGACCTGTCGCTGAAGGAGCCGCCGGCACCGGCGCTGCCCGGGGCCGGAGGAGTCAGCGACTCCGGCAGCGAGGATGCCGCCGTGGCCCGCGATCTGGGCTGCAGCCTGGAAACGGCAGCCGAGCTGAGGGCGGTGTGCGGGTGAGTGCGGGGCCGAGGCGGCTCTTGTAGCTTGGAGTCATCCGGGGTGCAGCCTTGCTCCTTCCCTCCCCTGGACTCATCCTTGGGCGGGCCTGTGGTTTCCTCCCGGGGGTAGAAGGGCCGCCCTATCAAAGCTTTCCCGGAACAACGGGAGAAGTCCCGCGAGGGGAATGCACGATTTCTTCTAGTTGAGTGAAGGGACGAGGCAGCTGCAAGAAAGATTAATTTTTCTATTCACTAGTTTTTAAAGTGCTTATTAATATAAGAAAGTAGTCAGAGTAACAGGACGTGTATCTGTCATTGTCATTGACAGACTTTAACGACGGAGGAACCTTAGTAATGAGACTGGAAGGAGATTTAACCAGAACAGTGTTAAAACCTTGATTGTCTGTGGTCTCTTGGGGATCTTCTGAGTATGCCGTTACTAAGATTTTCTTCAAAGTGTCTTATTTTGGATGAAAATATAAAAATCAGTAAGGATCTCTTTCTCCTTTAAACAATATTGGCGACTTCAGTCAGCCATGTATCCCTTTCATTAATTGAGTATCGGCGCATAATTTGCCTTTAATTCTCGCTCTCTGATTATTTAGTGAAGTATTTGGGACACAACCCAAATGGTTGCGTGATTGCTTTTTTTGTTTGTTTTTGTTTTAGCCTTGATAAACTGAAGTGCCTTGAGGAAGGGGAGGATCCAGAAGTCATCCCAGAAAATACTGACCTAGTGACTTTGGGGTATGGAGGACTTAACTTTTATTACAAGATAATTATTTAAATATTTTTTTCAACATTATATTATTCAGAAGTTGACAGCATGGTATTGTTATCATGTGTGTGCTTAGTCGCTCAGTCATGGCCTACACATTGCGACCCTCTTCCCCACCCCGTAAATTCAACCACTGTTGACATTTGGCCCTATTTGATTTAGTTGTATGTGTATGAGGTAGCTGCTGTGTGTCTTTATCTATTGCTGAACTGTTACAGTAAGTTGTAGACCTAATTCATGGCTAAATACATCGGTGTGAACTCCTAAAAGTGTCATTCTCCTACTAAATCAGAGAAGTATTATTATACTTAAGAAAATTAACAGTTAATGCATTCCCTCTGATATCTACTCCATATTCAAATTTGTGTTTATTTTTAAATGTTTACAAAAGTACAGTTAATCCATTTAGATTTTTGGGTGCAAGCTAAATACTCTGATGGTGTGGTAAAAGAACTAAGTTTTTAAAAAATTTTCTGTCAGATCTATACTTTTGTAAAATAGGATAAAAATGAATTACTAGAAAAATGAAATTAAAAGATAAGCACAGTAGAACTCCAAAATTTTTATTACTAAATTCAACAGTAAAATTATTATCCTTTAAGTGCGATCATTTCTAAACTCTTCCTCTTATTGTACTAGTTGGATAACAGATGGTTCAGAGATCAGTTCTGGTCTGCCCGCCATATCTTGAGAAACGCTGCTCTATGATAATATTGTTATAGGGAAACTGCATGTAATAGTGAAATTTGTAATTTCCAGTTTGTAACCTGCTTACTTCACACCATCTCAGCTATGTTTTCATCCTTTATCCTATCCTTTCTGTTGTCACCCTCAAAAATTTAGGCAGGTGATTTGACTATCTTGTTTTTTTATTTGTAATTGCCAAATCTGTTTCTTTTATGCCTGTTGCTGACATTAGCAACACTTGGAGCACTGTAAAAGGTTCCTGTCTTCCCTAGGTCCTGTCTTTTCTTCTGACTTACCCATCATGTTATCACCTCAGTATGCTCGTTTGCTGAGAAACTGTCAATGGCTCAGCCTCCTCTATGGACAAATTTCAGATTCTTCACTCAGATTCCTCATTTGAAACCTTCCACATAGCCCAAATATGCCTTTCTTGATACATTTTCAACCATTTTCTCTTTCAGTGGCTCAGGATGCACATGGCCCCTCTCCCAGCGGAACCCGATTCTTTCTTTGAGTCCCTAAGATTCTTTTCCACATCTCTGCAACCCATCTCTCTCCCTTAGGGAGTAGATGCTCTTGTAATGTCTAGAGCACTTCTAACATTTCTAAAGTATTTGAATACTCATTGAGAGTCCAGCTCCTTCATCTTTGAATTGCCCTTAAGCCTGTTGTACTGCTTTGCTCCATTTGGTGCCCTTAAACTGTTGCTGATTGATTAGTTGGGTTTTTTTTTAATAATGCACATCTGATTGTGTCACTCTCTTTTTTAAAACCTTTGTCCTTAAATGGATCACAGAGGCCTCTATAGAATGGATCTTGCTGACCTTTTCAGCCCTATGCGCTCCAGCCATGTAACACTTTTTATGTTCCTAGAATGTGCTGTCTCATCCTAGATCTTTGCCTAGAACACTCATGAGTCCTTATCCCCTGGTCTCGCTGACTTCTGCTCATTTTTCAAGTCTTAGCTGAAGGACTATGGACTCCATCTAGCTCCCCTGTTATGTTCATGTGGTCCCCAGTTCTTCTCTATCAAAATACTCATCCCACTTATTTAATTTTCTGTCTTCTAGCTAGGCTTAAAAGTTCCATAAACAATGTCTGTCACATGCATTGCCGTGTCCCCCATACCTAGAATTTTGGCATATAATAGGGAGTCAGAAGATATTTGTAGAATGAGTGGGATAAATGAAACTTGCATAAACCTAAGGAAGTGATTTTTTTTCCAAGATTGACTAAAAGAAGAAAGTTGATGGTAATTATAAAGCAGGGTTTTTTTTTTTTGCTATAATGACATGCTCATTGGCTTATAATGACTTTATTAAGCTATACGAAATGGTAATTTTCAGACTACTTTACACAGTGCTTTCCCTGGCTATTTTCTGTTATTAGATTCAACTGAATCTCCTTAGTCGTCTTCTAGTCCCTTCCATGGGAAATTTGAGTAGAATTATATGTATAATCTAATGCAAAAGGAGTTAGTGCAGCATTTCTTAGCTGGGTTTATTTTGATGTACTTTAAAACGTGTTTAAAATAGGACTAATATTAAACGGTACCACAAGCAAATTAGACTTACTTGAAAAGCCAAAAATCTGTATCTAGGCTTTCTCTTCCCCTGCTAAACCTTCCTTTCTTCTCCCTACCAATAACTTAAATACAAAAAAGGAAAAACAGCACCTAAATACATGACCCCTTTATTATGGCATAAAATAAATTTCTAGCACTTCTTTTCCCCAAAGGAGCTACTGGACTCCTTTTTATGATATTAAGAGGAAAAAGGCAGTTGATAGACTGCTGCTCTCCCTGATCCATAGCAAGCTTATTTTCAGCATTTTTGAAATTTTTATTATTATGTGAAGAGATTTTAATTCCTAGGAATAAGAGAGTTGTTACTACATGGGTGCTTCTGAGACTTCTTTGTCACCCCAGAAGGTTAAGCAACACTGTTTTTAATTCAATAGCTTGTAAATAGAATATTTTAAAATATAATCTAAGAAAAATTTCCAGAATTGGGAAGAAAACCCAAATCTACAAATTAAAAGGTTTCACTGGTTACCTAGGAAAATTAACCCAGAATTATCAACTCCGTAACAAAAATGCCAGGACTTACTTCCCAATTTCTAAAAAACAAACAAGCAAAAAGACACATCTCATAATGAAAAAAACAGCTAATATAACAAAATATGTACAATTATGAAATGTAATAGAATTGAGGCCATAGGCATCAGTTTTTCTACAGCCTTAATAAAAGTAGTTTAGATTAGGCTTCCAAAACAAAAACCTTGAAGAGACAACAAACACGTCTAAAATAAAGTAATCCAGAGAGACTAGAAATAAATGGTGGGACAAATGTACATCAGATAAATGGAAAGAAATTGAGCAGATGTAATTAATGGTCTTGATGGACTTCCCAGGTGGCACCAGCGGTAAAGAAACCACCTGCCAATGCAGGAGACATAGAGATAGGGGTTCAATTCCTGGGTCGGGAAGATCCCCTGGAGAAGGGCATGGCAACCCACTCCAGTATTCTTGCCTGGAGAATCCCATGGACAGAGGAGCCTGGCGGGCTACAGTCCATAGGGTCACACAGAGTCAGACATGACTAAAGCAACTTAGCACATGCACACAGTAGTCTTGATATCAGAATAATAAAGTTTAAGCCTCCAAACATTACATCTGACAAAAGACACATTTTAATGCTAAAAACCACAAACCACAGTTAAGAGAAAATACTTATATATACACCAAATAATATAAAACAACCATAGGGGATATAAGCCTTATAAAACAAACTATCGGGGATATAAGAAATAAGCTAGAAATGCATTAACAATAGGGCACCTTAATATACTAATCTCAGCAGAAGACAGATCATCTGAGAGCTCTAATCAGTAGGATATGTCTTATGGCTATGGGTATATATATATAATATATTCATAAAATTTATAACCTATATTAGAGACTACCTGGCTCATTTAGAAAAACTGGCTCTGTATTAGGTCACAGAGGAAACATCAGTACCATACATAGAGTAGAAATAATATAAACAACACTCTGATTACAACAAAATAAAGCTAAAATTTACTCAGAACAAAAAATAGGCCATTCCAACATGGAACTGTTCTAATAGGGCTACTGTTCTAACATGGTAAAATATGTATGCCTTAGTTGTAAAGCTAGTATCTTATTTAATAGAGAAACGTTAAAGCTGTACAGGTATTTTTACCAAGATCTGGAGTAAGGCAAGCATGCCTAGTATCTCCACTTACTTTGCAGCATTCATTGCTCTATAGGATTAGCCATGCAGTTTGACAAAAGAAATCAATTAGAAGCATAAGAGTAGATGAAGAGGAAAAATTAGCTCTATTTGTGAATGATAAAATGGTATTACCTGGAAAAGAAGTAAGTGCTAAAACAGACCAAAAGCAAAAGAATTTAGTGTAAGAGCAGGATACAAAATTGATATATAAAAAATAATAGCCTTCATATAAACAATAAATAACTAGAAGACATAATGGTGGAGAAAATTCCTATTTACAATAGTCAGAAAGATTAAACACTTAAGAATAAATTTAACAGGAAATGTATAAAGCTGAGGGAAACAGAAAAATTGTAAACCTTCCTGAAAGACTCAGAAGAAGTCTTGGAAAAAATTGAAAGATATCCTCTGTGTTTAGATAGAAATACTCAGCTTTATGATGTTGTCAGTTCTTTCTAAGTTAATTTACAAATTAAGTACAATCCCAATAAAAATACCAAAAGTATTGGTTCCTTCATGGAGTTAGACAGTTGATAATAAACTTCATATGGAATATTTGCAAGAATAACTAGGAAAAATTGGGTAGGGGAAGAAAATTGTGACTTCCTAGTAATTTTGCTATATATTAAAATATACTAAAAAGTCTTTATAATTAAAATAGTTACTAGCTCATGAGTAGACAAATAGACGTTTAGAATAAAAGAAAAAGTCCAGTTAGATTCAAATGCATATGGAAATTTAGTGTGACACTATACACAAGAATAAGCTCCAAAGGGATTGGGATCAAAATGTAGAGAATGAAACATACCTATCTCGGTATAGTGAAAGGCTTTTTAACTATGATTTAAACCCAGAGATAATAAAAGGGAAAGACTGATAAAATTGACTACATAAACATGTAAATTTTTTACATGACAAAAAAAAAACACCATAAAGTCAAAACGCTGCCAAACTTGGAGAAAATATATGCCCAGAGAGCTAATAACCCTAACACATAACCCTAACAAATACCAAAAGCCAAAAGGGAAAATGGGAAAAAGATACGAACTAATAATTCACACATACGAAAGGATCAAAATGATTCACAAACATGAAAAAATGTTCATGCATGTTCATTGTTAGAAAAATGAAAGTTAAAATGATCTTTTTTCTCTTATTGTTGTTATTTGCTAAGTTGTGTCTGACTCTTTGTGATCCCATGGACTATAGCCACCAGGCTCCTCTGTCCATGAGATTCTCCAGGCAAGAATACTGGAGTGGGTTGCCATGCCCTCCTCCAGGGGATCATGCCAACCCAGGTCTGCATTGGTAGGTGCATTCTTTATTACTGAGCCACGAAGGAAGCCCTTTGTCCTATTAGACTGGCACAAATTTTAAAATATACATTCTTTTGAGGAGGCTGAGGGGAAGCAGGCATTTTCATACATTCCTGATGGAAACGTAAATTGATAACAATGCTCCTCTAGGGAAATCTGGTAATACCCAACATAAAATTACTTAGGCACTTAACTTTTGACTCAGCACTCCAACTTCTAGCATTCTCTGCTGAAGAGACACCTCCAACAATATGAAAATATATTATGCACAAGGTTATTCATTACAGCAGTGTTTGTAACTGCAAATATTTGAAATATTCTAAAAACACATATGTAGGAGAATGTCGAAGAAATTATATTGGACATCCACACAATGGAGTATGGGACAGCTGTGCTAAAAGATGAGGAAAGATGAACCAATAGATTTCTAGGCAATACTGATTTGTGAAAAAAAAGTAAAGCCCTAAAGCATATGCTCCCTGTTATGTAAGAAATATTACTGGGTATCAATTTATTGGCTCTCATCTAAAAATGTACCCTTTTTGCCTTCTCTGTAAAAATGAGTCTCAGCTCTTTAAATATTTTTCCTTTCCCAGCTGGCGCAGTATTAAGTAAGCTTCGTCAGTAAAGGGCACAGGCGAGACTTTCATGAGAACAGAGTTTTGCTTCTTGGTCCAGTGTTTAGCAGGGACCTGCTGTGCTTCTCAAGCACCCAGCTCCTTGCATTACCAGGTGGCCTGTAACATAGCAGCTTTCTCCCCCACTCCACTCCGCTTGAAACCTCCCTATAAAAGCTTTTCCTGGCACCCTTGCTGGCAGATTTCCAGCAGTTTTCACTGATGTACCCTAGCAGCTTCTCTGACATTCAGCAAGTCACAGCCATTCCCTCTTCCCACAAGGCCTGGATCTGAGTCCTGGGGGAAGAAAAGGGAGCCGCCTTTGGCTTTTTTTTCTTAGCACAAGGAAGGATATGGCTTCTGTCTGCTATTCCTGTATTCTCTAGATTTCCCTACTTCTTACTTGCCATTCCCTCATCCCTCCAGTCCTAAGTTAATAATTCATTAGATAAAGCTTTGTCTGGGCTTCCCTGGTGGTTCAGAGGGCAAGGAATCCGCCCACAGTGGTGGAGACCTGGGTTTGATCCCTGGGTTGGGAAGATCCCCTGGAGAAGGGAATGGTTACCCACTCCCGTATTCTGACCTGGAGAATTCCATGGACTTTTTAGTCCATGGGATCTAAAAGAGTTGGACACAACTGAGTGACTTTCACTTTCGCTTAGTTACTGTTTAATTTTTTTCTCCTAATTGAACTCAGACTGATAGAAAAAGTAATCTAAGAAAATTTGTAGGTATCTATGTATTTGAACAAAAACAATGTAGAGGATAAATCATAACTATAGAGGTTTGTGGCCCACAGTGGGTAGATGGGAGAGGGTTGGAAAGAAAGAAGGGAATAGGTACAGGTTAGTGGTCCAGACAAAGAAGGAATGATGCTTCTCTAAATACATATACTTTCCAAAACTCTTTTGTAACTCTCTTAGAACCATAGTTGTGCTTCACATATCTTTTACACACCTCAAAATAATTAGACAATTAAAACCAGCCAGGATGTTGGGGGAGACTAAAGTAGTTAGTCTAATTGTGTTACAAGTGAATAGCGTAACAACACTGAAGAGAATTAGGAAGAAAGATCTAATCTGATTCTGTACAAAAGCATACTTTGATTCAGTGTTGTAAGGCTGAAGACAAGAAGAACTGTTAATGATTAGTGGTTTTCACAGGGGTATTAGCAGGTTAGCAGTTCTGAAGCCAGGTATTTTAAAGAACCAAACATTTAAGTGAATAGATTTAGATACAGGGAGCTGAGTTTCTCACTTGTGGAGAAAAGTTGTAAACAAGGAAAGGTTGAAGGCTACAATGAATCCTGTGATTCTTGGGATTAGAAGTATTAGTTTAAAACATGGATTTAAAAATACATAACAGAAAAATACAGAAACACAGATGTGTGTACATGTGTGGTTTAGTGTATTTTTCCTTTAAGGCTTTCCTGGTGGGTCAGTCGTAAAGAATCCACCTGCCAATGCAGGAGATGTGGGTTCGATCCCTGGGTCGGGAAGATTCTGTGGAGGAGGAAATGGTAACCCACTCCAGTATTCTTGCCTGGAAAATCTCATGGACCGAAGAGCCTGGCAGACGGCAGTCCATGGGGTCACAAAGAGTCAAACTTGACTGAATATACACACAGTATGTTTCCTACCTCTGCTGAGAGTCCTGGAAGCAGTGACTGCAAGAACAATGAGAATGCCTCATGCTCAGATACAGTAGGTCTCAAAGCCTCTTTCCAGGGAAGGAACTAGGTCTCCTAGGAGGAGTGGCTGATTTAGGGCTGAGACATGAAAATGCAGGGTGAGCCTTGAGCATTTTATGGTTCCAAAGTAAGGAAATGGTTAAATAGGAAAAACAAAAATTATTAGAACTTGTTGATAGAACAGGAGCTCCTAATGGCCAAAGCTTGAATAATTTGAGCAACAGAATAACAATACTGTTAGATTTTAACCTGTAGAATAAGGTAAGTATTTATGAATTTGTACTAATACAAGTAACCAAATAAATAAATGGGAAGAAGGAGGTAGGTTTTCCTCATAATACCAATGAATGAATGTTAAAGGAGAAAAATAGAGAATCAGTGTTAGGCATAAACCACAGTAATACATGTTGCAGACAAAATCTACTAGTGAATGATAAATTACTGGATGAAAGTTTCAAGAGAAACAAGAGTTGCATAGTCTCAAAGTATCCCCCCCCCCCCCCCCCCCNCCCCCCCGAAACACTCACCAGGTACAAAGGAAAAGAAAATATCTTTCTAGTGTGCGAACCTGGCAGATAGGAACTTAAACAAGATAAGTATCTCTAGGAATAAGATATAAATGAATAACATTGTTAACCTCATGATGATACACTGAGGACATCATCTTGTGGTATTCTTGCCCAAAGTATATAAGCTTACTCCAATTATGAGGAAACAGTGATTAAGGACAGTCTACAAAAGCACATTAGGGCTTTTTGAAAGTGTCAAGATGATGAAAGACAGACTGAGGAAGTTTAAAAGACTGGAGGGGAAAGGAGAAATAAAAAAGGTGTTTGCATAGGATCCTGAGACAGATAAAAGAAGCACTAAATTTAATAGTGAAATTTGAAAAAGTTTTGTAGTCTGTAATACTGTATTAATGTTAATTTCCTGGCCTTGATAATCTCTGAACAGGTAAGATGTTAACAGGGAAAACTGGGTAAGAGATATAAGGGAACTCTGTAATATTTTTGCAGCCTTTCTTTAAGTCTAAAATTAGTTCAGAATAAAAAACTAAATATTAAAGATATTTTTAAAGCCCCCCAAAATGTTGAAGTCTGATTTTTCTTGTAACAGGGTTAGAAAGAGGCTTCTGAAACACCGGGAAGAAACCTTAACGATAGATCGAGCCTGCAGACAAGAAACATTTGCTTATGAGATGGTAAAAGTCCTCTCTTTTCCACCTTTTCCCATGGAACAAAATCTGTTTATTGTCTGTTACCCATAACTGTATGGTAGTTTATATTGGATATGCTTAGCTGTAAACAACTGAGAGAACCTTCACTGGGACTGGGAACTAATAGGAGAAAAAGACCCATAAAATTCAGATGATGGGGAATTCCCTGATAGTCCAGTAGTTAGGACTCCACACATTCACTCCCTGGGGTGTGGGTTTGATCCCCTGTTGGCAGACTGAGATCCTGCTAGTCATGCAGCGCAGGCAAAAAAAAGAAAATTCACATGATGGCACATTTTCCTCTCAGCGCTCTGCCTTTGTTTTTGTTTTTACTTTGGTCTTGCTCTCTATGAGGCTGATTTCATGCCTTTCACCACTCTGTTTCTGATGCTTTTGTTCTGCTCCTGGTTTTGGTCTGTAGTGTGTGCTCAGTGGTGTCTGACTCTTTGCAACTCCATGGACTGTGGCCCACCAGACTCCTCTGTCCATGGAATTTTCCATGCAAGAATACTGGAGTGGGTTGCCATCTCCTCTTCCAGGGGATCTTCCCAACCCAGGGACCGAACCCATGTCTCTTACATCTCCTGCACTGGCAGGTGGGTTCTTTACCACTGCACCGCCCATTCTTCTCTAATCCATCATTTCTTAGGTAAAACCCTCAGAATGATTTAAGATGATGAATACCGAGGAATTTACATAACATGAAATTTAACATTTTAACCATTTTATTAGTTTAGCTGTGGGTTTTTCATATATGGCCTTTATCATGTTGAGTAAGTTCCCTTCAGTTCCTATTTATTTATTTATTTATTTATCAGGAAAGGGTATTGACTTTTGTAGAAATTTTTTTTTTTTTTGCATCAGCTGGGATGATGTGTTTTTTTCCATCATTCTATTAGTGTGGTTATTTGTTACGTTGAAATACCCTTGCATCCTCAGAATGAATCACCCTTGGCTTTGTGACATGCAGTCCCTTTTATATGCAGCTGAACTTGATTTGCTAGTATTTTGTTAAGTTTTATCTTTATATTCATAAGGGATATTGACCTGTAGTTTTCTCACAGTGTCTGTCTGTCTTGGGTATCAGAGTGTGCTGATCTCATAGAGTAAATTAGGAATTATTTTCTCCTTTTCAGATTTTTTGGAGGACTTTAGGAAGGATTGATAAATTCACATGAAGCCATCTAGTCCTAGGCTTTTCTTTGTATCCTCTGTCCATGGAATTTTCCAGGCAAGAATACTGGAGTGGGTTGCCATCTCCTCTTCCAGGGGATCTTCCCAACCCAGGGACCGAACCCATGTCTCTTACATCTCCTGCACTGGCAGATGGGTTCTTTACCACTGCACCACCCATTCTTCTCTAATCCATCATTTCTTAGGTAAAACCCTCAGAATGACTTAAGATGATGAATACCAAGGAATTTACATAACACGAAATTTAACATTTTAACCATTTTATTAGTTTAGCTGTGGGTTTTTCATATATGGCCTCTATCATGTTGAGTAAGTTCCCTTCAGTTCCTATTTATTTATTTATTTATTTATTTATCAGGAAAGGGTATTGACTTTTGTAGAAATTTTTTTTTTTTTTTTGCATCAGCTGGGATGATGTGTTTTTTTCCATCATTCTATTAGTGTGGTTATTTGTTATGCTGAAATACCCTTGCATCCTCAGAATGAATCACCCTTGGCTTTGTGACATGCAGTCCCTTTTATATGCTGCTGAACTTGATTTGCTAGTATTTTGTTAAGTTTTATCTTTATATTCATAAGGGATATTGACCTGTAGTTTTCTCACAGTGTCTTTGTCTGACTTGGGTATCAGAGTGTGCTGATCTCATAGAGTAAGTTAGGAATTATTTTCTCCTTTTCAGATTTTTTGGAGGACTTTAGGAAGGATTGATAAATTCACATGAAGCCATCTAGTCCTAGGCTTTTCTTTGTTAGGAGGTTTTTAATTTTTGATTCAGTTTTCTTACTTGTTACAGTTCTATTCATACTTTATATATTTTCTTAAGTCAGTTTTTATTATTTCCTTCCCTCTGCTAGTGTTGGGCGGAACAGGCAATAGCAGCCCACTCCAGTACTCTTGCCTGGAGAATCCCAGGGATGGGGTAGCCTGGTGGGCCGCAGTCCCTGGGGTCGCACAAAGTCGGACATGACTGAAATGACGCAGCAGCAGCAGCAGCTAGCATTGGGTTGAGTTTTCTTTTTCAGGTTTCTTAGGGTATGCACTTGGGTTATTGGTTTGAGATTGTTCTTTCCCAGTGTAGATGTTTCGAGCTGAAAGTCTTCCTCTTTCTGCTGCTTTTGCTGCATCTTGTTAAGTTTCTGATGTTGTGTTTTTGTTTTCATTTGTCTCAAAGTATTTTGTTATTTCCCTTGTGTTTTCTTTTTTGACCTATTGGTTATTTAAGAATGTATTGTTTAACTTCCACATGGAAATGTTCAGTTTTCCATCTCAGCGTTTGGGGTTCCTCAGTGGTAGTTTCTGTCAAATTCTTTTTTTCTTGTGAATGGGGCATATTTTCCTGTTTCTTTGTGTGTTTTATAAGTTTTTGTTGAGAACTGGACATTCTGAGTGTGTTTTTTTCCTTGTGAGGGCTAGAGCTGTTTTGAATTTTCTAAACTATTTTTCCGGTGTGTAGTCCTTGTTGTGTACAGGCATATCTCATTTTCCTGCAGATATTATGCTTTGCAGGTAGTGTGGTGGTGGTTTTTTTGTGAAAATTATGAAGGTTTGTGGCAACCCTGTATTGAGTAAGTCTGTTTGGCACCATCTTTCCAACAGCATTTGCTCTCTTAATGTCTCTGTCACATTTTGATTATTCCCACAATATTTCAAACTACTTCATTATTGTCATATTTATTGTGGTAATCTCTGATCATTAACATTACTACTACAGCTCATTGAAGGCAAAGAAAATAGCGTTTTTTATCAATAAAGTGTTTTTAATTACGGTTCCGGTCTGTACATTGTTTTTTGGGACATGATGCTATTATTACACACTAAACAGACTACAGCATAGTGTAAATATAACTTATGTGCATTGGGAAACCAAAAAATTCATATGACTCACTTTATTGAGATACTTGTTTTTGTGGCGGTCTGGAGCTGGACCCACAGTAGTTTAAGGTCTACCTATATGGTCGCTGATGTTTCTGATTCATTATCTTTAGTCAACCGGTGACCCGATCAAGATTTCCTTAAATGTCTGACTCTACAAAGGGTCCTGTGTCTTCAAATTTTTCCGGTTGGTGCTGCTGGGGGAAGCCACTGCTGGTAAGAGCATTGGAGAGAAGCAGCCAATTCTGACTCGGTGTTGAAACTGTTTCTTTCACTTGCTTTTCATTGCTTTTGTTATTATAATCATATGTAATGGATGCTTAAAAGGACCCTGTCCCTCAGTCTGACTGTTAAAGTGCCTTTTTTCAGAACCCTGTCCTCCTCTAGATGGCAGGAAGGAAGAAATGAACACATCCCCTGCCTAAGGCTTGCCGTTCTAGGAGATGTTTGCAAGATTAATGGCCTTTTTCTTTGCTTCCTCACCTCGCCCCATCTCTGATCTATAAAAGAACCTGGCATTTGGACCCCAATAAGATGGTTATTTTGAGGCACTAGCCTGCCCTCTTCTCAGTCTGCTAGCTTTCTGAATAAAGTCATTTTCCTTGTCTCAACACCTCATCTCTCAGATTCATCGGCTTGTCATGGGGTGAGCAGAGCAAGCTTGGACTCCATGACAAGAGGGCCAGAACCAAGGCAAGCTTCTGCACCAGGGCCTCAAAGCATTGCCAGACCAACCACAGCATGGTTACCCCTGTTTTTGGAGAACGTGATCCCACACTGCTCATCATGGCACCAGCTCCCTTTTCTAGGACCACAGCCTGCTCTCTCTGCATCTGCAGTGGGGCCGAGAGTGGGGCGTGGTCTGGTTTGTGCCCTCTGTTTACCTGGGGAGCAGCAGCAGCGTGTTTCTGCCCTGGGCCTCACCGGTGATCGGGTTTGGTCAGAGTTCAATGTGCCAAGATAGTTCCAGTCTCTGTCCGTCTTCATGGTTGCTGTGCTGGAGGGGCTTAACCTCCTGTGCCTCTGTTTGCTGCTGTGCCATTTGGCATGATGTCACTCCCACCTCTTTTTAAAACGTCTTTTGCACCTTCTTAACCAGTCCAATCTGGTGGCCTCTATTTTATAGTTATTGGGGCTTCTCTGGTGGCTCAAATGGTAAAGAATCTTCCTACAATGCAGTAGACGGGTTTGATCCCTGGGTTGGAGAGAAACCCTGGAGAAGGGAATGGGCCACCCACTGCAGTATGCTTGCCTTGAGAACTCCATGGAAAGGGGAGCCTGGTGGGCTAAGCAAATATAAAGGAAAGTGTGATGTTGTGATGGATTAAATGTGATAGCAAATTTGGAAAACTCAGCAGTGGCCACAGGACTGGAAAAGGTCAGTTTTCATTCCAATCCCAAAGAAAGGCAATGCCAAAGAATGCTCAAACTACCACACAATTGCAATCATCTCACACACTAGTAAAGTAATGCTCAAAATTCTCCAAGCCAGGCTTCAGCAATACATGAACCATGAACTTCCAGATGTTCAAGCTGGTTTTAGAAAAGACAGAAGAAACAGAGATCAAATTGCCAACATGAGCTGCATCATCGAAAAAGCAAGAGAGTTCCAGAAAACATCTATTTCTGCTTTATTGACTATGCCAAAGCCTTTGACTGTGTGGATCACAGTAAACTGTGGAAACTTCTGAAAGAGATGGGAATACCAGACCACCTGACCTGCCTCTTGAGAAACCTGTATGCTGGTCAAGAAGCCACAGTTGGAACTGGACATGGAACAACAGACTGGTTCCAAATAGGAAAAGGAGTGCGNCCAGGAAAGATTGAAGGCAGGAGGAGAAGGGGACAACAGAGGATAAGATGGTTGGATGGCATTACTGACTCAATAGACATGAGTTTGGGTAAACTCTGGGAGTTGGTGATGGACAGGGAGGCTTGGGATGCTGCAGTCCATGGGGTCGCCAAGAGTTGGACATGACTGAGCAACTGAACTGAAGTGACTGAAAGATATGATATGTAGTAAAAACAGGGTTTTAGAGTGAAACATATCTGTATTTGCATTCTAACTGTCTGATTTACCTTGGGTAAATTGGTAAAGCTGAGTTTCATTTGTCAAATAACTTTCTTGATAATATGGAAGTGAAATTGCTCAGTTGTATCTGGCTGTTTGTGACCTCATGGATTGCAGCCCGCCAGGCTCCTCTGTTCATGGAATTCTCTAGGCAAGAATACCGGAGTAGGTTGCCATTTCCTTCTTCAGGGGATCTTCCTGTCCCAGGGATCGAACCTTCGTCTTCTGTTTTGCAGGCATATTCTTCATTGTCTGAGCCACAAGGGAAGCCGTGATAATATGGAAGGAGATGCATAAAAGTGTTAATGACTGTAAATGTCAGTATTATACCAATGTTAGTGGATACTCCTATTTTATCATCAGTTGCTAAGCACTTAGTGCCGAGCATCTTATTAGGTGCTTTATTTTACATTCCCAGCAACTATTCTGTAAAATAAATATTTTCTTGTTTTTTACAGATGATGAAACTAAAGCTTAGTGAGGTTTTTTAAACAATTTTCTTGAAGTAGAATTAGGAGCTAAATTCAGGGCTGATTGAAGCCCTTGCTTATAGCCCTTATTCTACACTGCCTCTGATCTGGTTCACAGTGTCTGATTTTAATGTCCCGTATTGCTTTCCTTCTTCAGGAGTCACATGCTATTGGGAAAAAGCCTGAAAATTCAGCAGACATGATTGAAGAAGGAGAGCTTATCCTATCTGTAAATATCTTTTACCCTGTGATTTTTCATAAGGTCAGTAGTAAAACCTTTTGGACTTTACAGATTGTATGAGTGACTTTTGCCAAAGAGTTTATTTATTTAAACCTTATTTGAACCAAAATAAACACAAGCGTATGCTGTTTTATATGACATTCTGTTTATATTCTTGAGTTCTTTGTTTTACAAGGAATATCATAAAGTCAATTTTCATATAATCTCTTTAGTAATAGAATTACAGTTACAATGTTGGAATGTATACCTGATTTCTGTACTAGTAGCCACTGAAAGTGTGTAAATCTGCAGTGATTCTGATAGTATTATTTCTTGAGGGTTGTTTTTTTTTTTTTTTTTTTTGTAGAAAAACTGGTTAAGCAGGGTTTTGTTTTGTTTTTACCAATTCAGAATTCTTGGGAAGTTATTGAACTAGCTAAGGACAGCTCTTCTTCGATGAAAATGCAGAAAGTTAGCATGTCAAGGGTATCCAGGAATTTCTTAGGCATCTCTAGTAAAAAGAATTCTATTGCAGTGAATATATTCTCAATTTCCCAAATAGATGTATCATAAACTTTAATAAGATTTCATTGAAATATTACTGTACATAAATTGCACTTGTGAATAAATAACCATACCACAGATGATATGAATCATCTGTGGTATAGTTAGCACTAATTATTAGATTGGTACAAAAATAATTGTGGTTTCAGACTGAATTTTACATCATTATAATTAGGCTCAAACATATCTTTATTAATCAAAATAGGAAACATTACAATCAACACATCTTGCCAATGAGAAATAAGTTTTTTTATTCCTGTAGCATATAAATCCATGCTTCAGGATTTGATGAACTCTTGGAAAGCATTTTCTCCCTCTTGCTGGTTGTGGAAGCATTTTGCCTTTAAGAAGTTGTCAAGATGCTTGAAGAAGTGGTAGTCAGTTGGTAGGTGAATATGGCAGGTGAGATAAAACCTTATGGCCCAGTTCACTCAACTTTTGAAGCATTGGTTGTGTGATGTGTAGTTAGGCATTGTCATGCATAAACATTGGGCCCTTCCTGTTGACCAGTGCTGACTGCCAGTGCTGCAGTTGCATCTCGTCTGTTTGCTGAGCATACTTCTCAGATGAAGTGGTTTCACTGGGATTCAGAAAGTTGTGTGGTCAGACCAGCAGCAGAATACCAGTGACCATGATGTGTTTTTTTGTGCCCATTTGCTTTGGGAAGTTCTTTGGAGTTTTTTTCTCAGTCCAGCCACTTAGCTGGTTGTCACCAGTTCTCATATAAAATCTGCTTTTTGTCACAAATCACAATTCAATCGAGAAATGGTTCGTTGTTGTTGTATAGAATAAGGATGACAACACTTCAGAAAGAGGTTTTTTTGATTTTCAGTCAGCCCATGAGGCACCCACTTAACTTTTTCACCATTTTCACCTTTCCAATTTGCTTCAAATGAGAAATAGCTGTAGAATGGTTGACGTTGAGTTCTTAGGAAACTTGTTTAGTTGTAAGAGGATCAGCTTTGATGATAACCCTCAACTGGTTTTTGTCAACTTTGGTGGCTGTCCACTACGCTCCTCATCTTCATGGTTCTCATCTCCTTTGCAAAACTTTTTGAAGTTTTGCACTGTACTGTAAGTTTGTTAGCAGTTCCTGGGCCAAACGCATTGTTGATGTTTCAAGTTGTTTCTGTTGCTTTACAACCCATTTTGAACTCGAATTAGAGAATCACTCAAATTTGCTTTTTGTCTAACATCATTTCCACAGTCTAAAACAAATATATAATAAACAGCAGGTAGTAAGTCATTAGCAAAGAAAAGTGAGAAATGTGCAATAAAGTGATGCATAACATAACCACATTTATTTACAAATATATTCCAGTATCAAACAACAAATTTCAACAGTGTAAAGACTACAGTTACTTTTGCACCAATCTAATACCCTGTTTGATTAAGATCCTAAATTATCAATCAAAGAAAACAAAGCAAAACAAAACTAATAAAACCAAATGTGGGTAGTGTATAGATTCCTTGATTTCAGTGAGGTAGCTTTCAGGACAGTTTAAAAGTCAGTGAACTTATATTCCTAAGACTCTTCGTATTAATGTCACTTTAGTAGCAATTTGGTTATAAATTTTCACTTATACTAAAAAAAGTTTTATTGCCAGGTGTATTAGTCCATTCTGGCTGCTATAACAAAATAGCACAAACTGGGTGGCTTATAGGCAACAGAAACTTGTTTCTCACAGTTCTGGAGGCTGGAAGTCTAAGATCATGGTACCAGCATCTGGTGAGCACCCTCTCCCAAGTCACATCCTTTTTATAAAGGCACTAATCCCATTCATGAGGGGGTCCACCCTCATGACCTAATGACCCTCAAAGGCCCCGCCTCCTAACATCAGCACATTGGGCCTTAGGATTCCAGCATGATGTGAATTTTGGGCAAGGGTAAGCAGCACAGCACCAAGTGTCTGTTGTACTCATAGGATTTTAATTTATGGAGACCAGTGTCACTGAAAGATTTTCATTATTTACGTTTCCTGGGGGGAGAGTATGCCGTGTCATGCAGGACCAAAGGGGAAGTACCAGGATCAGTCAGGAGGCAAGGGGAAAGCACAGGCCACAGCCCTTATTGGTTTCCACAGGAAAGGCAAGGCAGAGCAGAGTACACAGTTTGGGATTGACTAGCTTGAATAATTCCTGGGGGCTCTGGGCTGTGGGGCTGTCCTAGTTGTCTGGTACCTGGCTGTGGTTTGACGTCAGACAGAGGAGAAATACTGACTTGGTATAATGAGAGTTAGATAGAGATAGTTTCAGAGTATGGGCTCTGGATACAGGGGAAAGGTAAATAACTGACAGTTAGTTTGGACCTATAATTAATCGATGCTGGGACTTCCCAGTGGTAAAGAAGCCGCCTTCCAATGCAGGGGGACATGGGTTCAGTCCCTGGTCCGGTAGCTAGGATCCCACATCCTGTGAGGCTACTTAGCCCACATGCTGCAACTAGAGAGAAGCCCTGCGTCACAATGAATGATCCCACATGTCAGTCACAGGGAGGATCCTACATGTCACAGCCAAGACCTGACACAGTCAAATAAATAAATAAAATGCATAAATATTTTTAAAAGATCAGTGCTGAGTAGACAAATGCAGAACCTAAGGAAACTCGGGGATACCATATTATGGGTATAACTTAAGATAACCAGTAACTTAATTTAGATCTGGCCATGACAGGATTTATAGATGAATTGCTTTGTCTCTAAGTGAACACTGATTTATTTACTGTCTGACTTGTAGCACAAAGAACATAAGCCCTACCAAACAGTGCTGGTATTGGGCAGTCAAAAGCTCACGGAACTGAGGGATTCCATTTGCTGTGTCAGTGACCTCCAGATTGGTGGGGAATTCAGCAACGCTCCTGACCAGGCTCCTGAGAACATCAGCAAGGTAAGGTGATTTTTTAAATTTCTAACCATCATAGAACAGGAGGAAATAATAATCATAAACTAAGGAAATAGGATTACAGGCTCATAGGCATTCCAGTAAATGCTTTCTTCTGTGCTATTCCATCAAGCTTATCCCTTCTTTTTATCATCAAGACCTTTTCAAAGATGAGGCTACATTCAGTTTTGATTTCATCTCCCATTTATTTCTCAGCCATTCTTTGTACACTCTTCTTTCTAAGGGCACAGTACCACCTGATTATCTAGCCAATAGGTCTCTCTTCCATGTGCATACAACTTGACCTCACTGTAGCACTGGAATTTGCTGTTCACTCTCTCTTCTTGCAAACTCTGTGTGAGTTTGTCTGTCATAACTGACCCTAGCAGAGGGTTGGAGTCCACCCAAGAGCATCACTGGCCACAGAAGAACCTTTCAACGCAAGGACAGAAGCAAACAGGGACACACCCTGTGACATTGGGCCTTGCTGGTACTTCCCAGGGTGCTGCTCTCAAAACAACAGTGAAACCTTCCATACTCACTGAAACAGGATAGAAAGGCAGACTGGCCACCCACAATTTTCAGAAGGGATTGCTTACTCAATAATGTAGTAGGGCCTGGATCCTTTGAATTTCATCACAGAGCAAGCTTGACCCAATTCTATCAGCTTGTACAACTCTGGCAGAGGACCTCAGAACGTGGCATTTTTACCACCTCTCTATAGTTGATACACCCTTCCACTTTTCAAGGTAACTGTTTTGTTCCTTCTGAAACTGCCAACATCTTTTCCTCATCGCTTCCCTTCAGCTGCTGTCCATTTCACTGAGCAAATAAGTTATCAGAAAAGAATTTTCCATCATCTCTCACCCACACTTACCCATCTGCCCATGCATTCTGCCTTCCCACCTGTTACACTGGATGGATTAAAACTGTTGCTGTCAAAGCCCAGTCTAGGTGTCTGCTAGATTCCAACCCCACTGTATAACCAAGGACTTTTTTCTTGTACTATCCCCTTTTTTTCCCTGCCTCATCAGCTTTTTCCCTTCTGTTGCCTATCCCATCAGTACACAAATAGCCTGTAATATTGCCTATCCTAAAACCTCTTACCATGTATCTTCCTCTGGCTACCATCTCATTTTTCTATTTTCTTTGCATTAAACTGACTCAAGAATTATGAATTAATAGTGCCTCAGCTCATTGTTTCTCTTTTTCTCTCCCCTTTGTCTTACACACACTCTTGTTCATCACCACGCCACCAAAATCACTTCATTGTTGTCACCACAAATTAATTTCTCATCTTACTTGATCTCTCTTCAGCACATGACACAAGTGAATATTCCTTCTTCCTTGAACCACTTTCTTAACTTGGCTTTTAAGTCTTTACACCTGCCTCATTTTCTTCCTATCCGACTGACTTTTTACTCCTCTGCTGGATGCTTCTGATCCTCCTAACTGGTGAATGTTACTAAGCCCTTTGAATCAAGGTGAACTTGTCCAGATTCCTAATCCAGATTTGTATCTCCAATCTCAGTATCTACAAACTCCAGATTTATTTTTTCCAACTGCCTACTTAACCATTGCTGAACGTCTAATAGCCACTTTAAACCTAGTATGTTCAGAAACAGACTCTAGTTCTCTCTTCCTCCTCAAATCTATACCTTTCCCAGTGTTTCCATCTCAGTAAATATGCTCATTCTACACCTGGTTACTTAAACCAACAACCTTGGAATCATCTTTGCCCCCTTTTCATCCCACATGGAAGGCGTCAGCAAGTGCTTTGGCTCTACTTTCAAATTATGTTTAGTATCTGCCCGTGTATCTGCTTCACAGGTAGCAGCCTGAAGAACCACCATCATCTCTTGCCTGAACTATGGAGTTGCCTAGTGACCATTCCCGCTGCTCCTTTTCACCTTCTGTTTATCCTTTACACCAAGCCAGAATGATACTCTAAAGTATCAGGCAGACCCTGTTGCTTTTCAACTTGAAAGTCTATAGAGGCTTCCTCTTATATCTAGAATAAAATACAAAGTCCTTTCTGTGGCCCCGTCTGCCTCTGGACTTTATATGCTGACACCCTCTTTGTCCCTTGTTGCCTGCACACCACGTGCCATTCTTGCTCTTTCTCATATATGCTAAGCAGGGTCCTGCTCAGAGCCTTTGCTTCTCTTGTTTCCTCACCTTAGGTGTGTTATTCACCCAGGTATTCTGATGGCTCACTCCCTCATTTCTTCATCTTTCTGATGTTGCCTTGACAGATCTTTCCCTCTCTTCCCCAGCCTTGCTGATAACACTCCCTAATGTTAAGTTATATGTTTGTCTGTCTTCTCTTGAACCATGAGGGTAGGGACTTTGTTTTAGGAATTATAGGAATACAGAGGAATTTAGGAATACAGAGCTGTATTTCTGTGATGATGTGTGGCACAAAGGAAGTGGTCAAGTCCTTGTTGAATAAATAAACGAACCAGAATACCTCAAGCTCAGTGTTTAGTCTTGAACTCATTACTCTACAATCTCCCTTTTTCTTCAGATGAAACTCTCCTTTTCCATTCCTCTTTATTCTGCCTGTATAGCTCCAGACTCTGTTTTTTTCCACTGCTGTGTGCTTTAGTTTAGGCCCTCAGCATCTTCTCCAGGAACTATTATAGAGACTTCTTAACTGATTTTCCCACCTTAAGAGTGTCCTATATACATGCTACTCAAGATGTCTTTTAAAAACAAATCGAACACCAAGAGGGAACTCTGGACATTAGGTGACTGTGATGTGCTGGTGCAGGTTTATCCTTGGTAACAAATGTACCGTCTGTTGAGTGGTGTTGATAATACAGGCAGGCCATGCATGTGTGTGGGGGCAAGGGCTGTATAGGAAACCTCTGCCTTCCTATTTTATTGTAAAGCTAAAACTGCTCTAAAAGAATAAAATGTTTAAAAAATTAATCCTGTGATTCTCCAATCTAAATATTTCAGTGGTTCTCCATTGTACGTAGTCCAGGCTCCTTAGGCTGACCAATAAGGCCTTCTGTGAAGATGTTTCTCAAGTTAACTTTCTATACTATTCACCCCCCTCCTTTTACACCTTAGGCTTCAACCACAGTGAATTTATCTTCCTCAAGCATACCATACTGCTTTATGCCTCT